AAATGCACCATTTATAAATACTATTATTTTACCACATCAAATTGGAATAGAAATATTATGTAGTTTATTTATTGTTTTTATAATTAATAATCAAGATGGTACATTGGATCAATTTAAAATTGAATATCAAAATTTTAATATAGATGATTGGTGTTTTAATTATTTAAATTTTTTATTCAATATTCAATTCAATTGTATTAATTATACTCCAGTATCCCAAGATACTATTTATATTTTACCATTTTTACCACCTCCTGATACTACAGATTCTTTTATTATTACCTGTAAAAGTGCTAATAGACATCATGTTCCATTACCATCATTCCCAAATTCTAATAAAATTTTAAATAAAAATTCAAAAGTAGTTGGTAATTTTTTAGCATTATACGATTCAATGGATGTCAAAGTTAATTCTGATAATGGAACTTGGTTACTTTTCATAAAAACTAATAAAAATTTATTTCAAGGTGATGAAGATTTATATTCAATTTTAAATTTAAATTTAAAATCTTCAATTGATAATATTTCTTTAAAGTTTGTAAGTTTTATTTTTATTAATTAGTTATTATAATAATCTAAAAAAAAAATTTTTTTACTAATATCAAAAAAAAAAAATCAAAAAAAAAAAATCGAATTTTTTTTTTTAAATTGAAATCAAAAAATTAAATCAAAAAAAAAAAAAAAAAAAAAAAAAAAATTAAAAAAAAAAAAAAAAAAAAAAAAAAAAATTTTAAAAAAAAAAAAAAAAAAAAAAAAAAGATTGATATCTCTGAGTGGACTCAATCATTCATTGGTAATAAAAAACCACATAGAATTATTGGAAAGAAGAAAATTTTTTATCATAATAAATCTTCCAAAGTGACAATAAATTCAGCTGTAAAAAACAGTCTTGTTCACTTGGACCAAAAAGATAGAAAAAAATTAGAAAGTTTAATAAATATTTTGGATAATTCAAATAATAATAATAATAATAATAATAATAATAATAATAATAATAATAATAATAATAATAATAATAATAATAATAATAATAATAATAATAATAATAATAATAATAATAATAATAATAATAATAATAATAATAATAATAATAATAAAAATAATAAAACAACAATAACAGATGATGAAATCAAAATCAACGCTTGGTTGTGTGTTAGAGAGAGCACAGAAGCTCAACTAGGTCATAGCAAAAGTTTAGTAAATCAAGCATGTTTAGTTATTAATTCTTTAATTTACTTAATATACAAGTTTATACCAGGATACCCAAAACTTACAATAGAACCAAGAATAATTATAGAAATTATCAGTTGCTTTTGGAATACAATCAAACAGAGAACTCAAATTCAAAATATGATAAAAGCATTTAAAAATTATGATATTATAATTACAAGTTCATTGGATCGCCTAACAAGAAGGTGGACAGATATGGATATTTTGTTACAATTTCTGAAAGAAAAAAAAGGATTTCTTTTTTTAATTATGGCACCTTCAGATTTAGTCGGTAATAATAATAGTTTATTTTTAGATTTCAATAAACGTAAGGCTTATATCACAAAAATTAAAGATTGGGTTAATTCAGAATGGGTTCAACTAAATAAACAATTTGATGATATTATCATTTTTTTTGAAAATTTTTTTGAAATTTATACACAATTATCTGTTCAACACTCTGTGTATACTAAAAGAACTTATCAACAAAATTATTGGATAAAAAATGGTTGTGGTAATATTTTCAAAAAATTTTTAGATTTTGAAGGATATCCAGCAGCATCATTCTCTAGAACCTCACCTAGTAAATTTGGTAATAATCTTATCAAAGCTGGTAATTCTGGTGAGGCTCAAATAATATTTATAGATTCAGTAATTCATATTGGTAGGTCATCTAAAAATATATATGTTCAAGCTCATGACTATAAAACTATTGACGATTTTTCAATTTTAAATCAAGATAATAATATTGATGGTTTTGAAGAGTTATTTGGTGATGAAGATGATGATAATGATGATAATGAAAATGAAGATAGTGGTAAGTTTTTTATTAAAAAAAAAAAACAATAGTTATTAAAATTATAACTATTAATATTTTTTTTTTTTCAGAATTTTTAATAATTGAATTTATGAAAAAAATTAACACTGAAAATGACAATAAACCATTTGTATTAAATATTGTTGGTAAGTTATTAATAATAATTTTTTTAATATTTATATATAAATATTAATTGATTTTTTAGCACTAGATAGAATCATTAAAAGTCCAGAATTACTTCAAAAATTAGTTAATGATTCAATTAAATATAATTGTTTAATTGTAATGTGGTTTCCAGAATTTGAATATATTAGAAATAATTATAATCAAGATTATTTTATAAAAACTTTAAATACAATTAGAAAATATGTAGGACTGCCATCAAAAAAAAATTTATCAACAGAGCTACAAAACTATAGTAATTATATGGATGTCAATCTTGAAAGAGAAAAAGAATTTCAAAATAAATTCAATAAAGGAATAACTGATTCAAAATATTGGTATACCAACCAATTAGTATTCCCAACTCTTGTCAATAAAGATACAGCACTTCAATTGGTAGGTTCTATTAAAAGGACAAGAGAATTTTTAATTTACAGCCGAAAGAACTTTGTCCCATACAAAGCATTTCATGGGGATTATAGAAATATTATTGGTAACAACACCAATGCTCAAATTTTACAACTACCAGAGGAGCAAAATCGTTATAATGTCAGAGTTTTTTTGGATGCTGTACTGGAGTCTTGTAATCTTGGTGAAACACAAAGAGAGCTTTTTGCCTGTTCAATCGATGAAACTGCCAACACATTTCATTCTTCAAATTTTACTCCTCAATCACATTCTAACACAAATTCCAATGGTCATTATGTAATGAATCAGTAAGTATAATTTATTTCTATTTCCGTTTTTTAACAAAAACTATTATTTCATATTAATTAATAAATTTAACAATTAAATATAAGGGTTAGAGAATATACATATCAACTAAAATATTTTTCTAATGATACTAATTATGGAGCTTTAAAAACTACTACAACTACAACTACAACCACAACCACAACAACACCAACACCACCACCAACAACAACAACAACAACAACAACAACAACAACAACAACAACAACAACAACAACAACACCAACACCAACAACAACAACAACAACAACACCAACACCAACATCAACAACAACAACAACACCAACAACACCACCACCAACAACAACACCAACAATAACACAAACAACAGATTTCTCAACAAATAATATAACTCCCAGAAAAAAAGTAAAGTTCTCTCTAGAACCATGCATTACATGCCATCAAAAACAAAGTGTCCATATTAACTCGCCATATTGTTCAAGTGATTGCGCAGTTTCAGATAATATTCAATATGAGAACAAAGATATATTTAGTAAATGTAACCAATTCAATGTTTGTGGTCAATATGTATTTAGATATACTAAAAAAGGTTCATATTGCAATGAATGCTTCAAGTCGAAAAAGGGAACGTACAACAAAGATCATAGGTCTAAACCAAAAAATGAAAAAAAATAAAAAAACAACGCCAATATCAATATCATAGTTAAATAAATAAATTCTTAATTTTTTTTCCTTTTCTTATTTTTCATTTCTTTCTTTTTTTTCTTTATTTATTATTCTTATTCTTTTTTGATTATTACTAATTATTTATCCACATCGCAGTCGATATTTGGCATGGTAGTAATTATATCAGAGTGAAATAATAATTGAGTTCTCTATCTGTTATCAGTTATTTCATTAGAAAAATATATCTGCCGATATATATCTTTTCGTGGAAAAATGGGATACTTTAATATTTTCTCGAATGAATTAGTCATTTTTTTATTTAATCTTTTTTTTGAAATGACTTTATAAGAACTCCTAACTCGATTGAGTTTTTTATCTCTAATTTTTTTCTTCACTACCATTGGTACACCCGAAGCACTGTTGAGTTGGTTGTGATAATTGACGACTACCTACCTTATTGTGGAGCTCTACCTTGTTGTGGGTGCACCCATTGGACGTTGAACACTTTTTTGTTGTTGTTGTTGTTGTTGTTGTTGTTGTTGTTGTTGTTGTTGTTGTTGTTGTTGTTGTTGTTGTTGTTGTTGTTGTTGTTGTTGTTGTTGTTGTTGTTGTTGTTGTTGTTGTTGTTGTTATTGTTGTTATTGTTGTTATTGTTGTTGTTTGTTGTTTGTTGTTTGTTGTTGTTGTTATTATTGTTATTGTTGTTATTGTTATTGTTGTTATTGTTATTGTTGTTATTGTTATTGTTGTTATTGTTATTGTTGTAATTGTTGTTATTGTTGTTTGATTTCTTGAATTTTGATTGATCAGACTTTAATAATTTCAGCTTCGATTACATGAGATATTTTGTTTGTCTTGTTTGGTTTCTTAAGACCTTCCGATGGTAGGTGATATCGATCTTGATGTAGTTTTCACTATGGTTTTCACAGTCTTGGTAGGTGTGTGAATTGTTGTTGAAAAAAAAAATTTCTTGTAACATTAATAATCCATTTTAATTCTACTGTTCTATCGGTGAAAAAATTTGATTCCTATAGATCTATTCTTCGCTTTCTTTTTCTTTGTAGAATTTTTTTTAAGTTTTACTAGAAGATAATGAAATTTTTTTTTTTATTTTTCCTTCTCTAATATTCAATGATTTTTTTTTCTTTTGTTTTGGAATAAATTTTGTTTTTTTTTGTTTTTTTTGTTTTGGAATTTTTTTTTTTTTTAATTTTTGTAGATGTGTGGATATGATCTTACTTATTAAGAGGGAAACTGTGGTTGATAGATTTTGAAGAAATATCATTCTCACACTTTTTTTCTGTTCTAGTATCTTTGAATTATTTTTGTTTTTTTGATAGTCCCATGAGGAGAAGAATTTTTTTCAGACCATGTTACTCCTCTTGGCAACAGTGAGATGAAAAAAAAAAAAAAAAAAAAAAAAAACAAAAAAAAAAAAATGTTTTTCTTCTTGGTTGCTATATAGTCATTCTTACGTAAGGACTTTATGCTAATTTTCTCTGTTACATGGATGGCTGGCCTATCTATTATTGTTTGATTATTGATTATTGGATTATAATCGTTTATTGTTAATTATATTTCACATGGCGTCATCATTTGGGTGTGGGACGTAGTTTCCCAGAGATCTTTTTTTTTTTTTTACCTATGATAAGACGCAAGATCTATCGGCGGTGTTAATTATCTTTATTGTTTACTATTTGTATTATCTTTATATTAGTATTGATTATAATTTGAGTATTACCTTATATTATTTTTTTTTTTTTCTTTTTTTTTTTTTTTTTTTATTTAATAGTTTGTTTTCTTAATGGGTTTTTTTTTTTTTAGACCTCGTTTCCCCTAAGGTGAGATTTTAATTGAATTTATTGAATATATACTTTTTTTTTTTTTTTTATTATGTTATAATCCACTTCTCTTTTTTTAGACATGATTTTTTTTATTAATTTTTTTTTATTAATTTTTTTTTTTAATTTTTTTTTGAAATTTTTTCTGGGCTAATTTTTTTTTTTTTTTTTTTCATTTTATTTTTTTCATTTTTTTAGATGTGTGGATAGGCCAGAGATACAGCTACTTATAGTTAATTTTATATCTCTTGTTTTCGGTTTAGTGCCTTTGATAGTCCCATGAGGAGAAGAATTTTTTTCAGACCATGTTACTCCTCTTGGCAACAGTGAGATGAAAAAAAAAAAAAAAAAAAAAAAAAAAAAAAAAAAAAAAAAAAAATGTTTTTCTTCTTGATTGCTATATAGTCATCCTTACGCAGGGACTTTATGCTAATCTTCTCTGTATCGTTCCAATTTTAACGGATGACCGGTTGCCCGGGTCCAATCAATTATAGTTACTAATTTGTTTTAAGGTTTGTCATGTGATTATTCGAATTTTTTATGGGATGATAGATTTTTTTTTTTTTTTTTTTGGTTTTTATGAATTTTTTTGAATGGATTAGTTTTTTTTCTTTTTATTTTTTTTTTTGCCTTTTTTTTTTCTTGTCTTTTTTTTGTTTTTTTTTTTTCCTCTAGTTTCCTTTTTAATAGGTTTTGTAGTTAGTTCTTTTCTCCTTTTTTTTTTTTTCTTTTTTTGCAATATAATTTTTTTTTTTTTTAATGTTTCTGTCATAGTTTATTTAAATTAAAAAAAAAAAAAAAAAATAGTTTATTCTCCCCTCTTAATAGCAAGGACCATATTCTCCTTTCCTAATAGCTATCATTACTAGTTATCAATTAATAATATCTAGTTTATTCTATTTTTTTTATATTTATTTTCATATTTATTTTTATATTTATTTTATATTTTTTAAATTTTATTTTTCAATTTTATTTTCTTTCAAAATTTTTTTTTAAACACAAAGCTCACTATAATACATAAAACAATAATAATTTTTTAACAAATTACTACTTTATGAATAATTTTATAAAAAAACAAATTATATTATTATGTATGGATAAAAAAATAAAAAAAAAAGATAACAAAAATCACAAAAAAAAAATTAAATAATAATAATAATAATAATAATAATAATAATAATAATAATAATAATAATAATAATAATAATAATAATAATAATAATAATAATAATAATAATAATAATAATAATAATAATAATAATAATAATAATAATAATAATAATAATAATAATAATAATAAATAGTCATTAATTTTAGTAAACAAGTGTCAAAAGTTAGGCTGGAGATGTGAACATTAGATGAATTGGTATGATGTAGGTTTGACTTGGATTCAGTATCTTTTTCAATCTAGATCAAAACTTGGGACAACGACATGTCCCAGCTAGAGTTTATAAAAAAAAAAAAAAAAAGATATGTTTTGATGTCTTTATTTCTCTGCATGCAGTTACATCTCGATATCTTTGTTAACAAAGAACGTTAATGTAAAATTCATCAATAATTAAAGATTAACATTATAATTCTTTTTTTTTTTCATACTCTAGCTAGTTGGGACATCGAAAACATTTTTTCCTGTCATAGAATTCATTCAATAATTATGTGTGAATCAAACAACAACAATAATGGAAAGAGAAATTAAAACATTTATACAGCAAATTCAATGCTATTACTATAGGCGATGGAAAAATTAAAAAATGAAAAAAAAAATAAAAAAATTTGAAAAATTCCTTTATTATCTCAAAAAGGCATAAAACTAAATTTTGTTTTCTTAAATCTTTAATAAAATTTTTTAATCATTGAAAAAAAAAAACTTTTTATCCATTTAAAAATTTCACTCAACTTTTCTGCTCCTTTTTGAAAATATATCTCTTTTATTATTTTTTTTTTTTTTTTTTTTTTTTTTTTTGTTTGTATAATAGTAGTTTATTTTAATATTTGAAGTTCTTCTACCCAGGATTTAATTCCTTCTTCTTTTGGGTTTATTCCTTTTCTTTCTTTTTTTATTTTTTTATGTAAAAGAATTTTATTGTTTTCGATAGCTCTGTTCCACTTTTCAATATCTAATTCCTTTTGATCCAAATAGTAGTTAATTAATTGTAAAAGTGTAGTTTTATAGTTTACTATGTGTTTTGCTATTTTATTACGAGCCTCTGGTTGATTGTTGAGCTCCATACAGTTTATTGCCAAAGATTTGTATAAAATCACTACTTCTTCCCAGCTATGCTTTTTCTCAATTTCTCTGATTTTTTCTTCTCTAATTTGCTTTTCATTGGAGTCTTTTAAGGCGACATCAAAGGATCCACCTTGATCATTTTCTAGAGTATTTAAAGTAAATAGGTTTTTTTTAAATTGGTGTTCTTTTGTTCATATGTTATTTACTTCTTGCTTACCTATATTTGTGTTTTCTGAAAAATAATTTATACAAATTTGTTCAGCTGAATATTCACAATTGTTTGTTTGCATTTTGTTAATAAACTTTTTTTTTTTTTTTTTTTCTTCTTTTTTTATTTTTTAAAATTTTTTTTGTTGGTCAATTTTTTTTTTTTTTTTCTTTTGATAATTTTTTTTTAAAACAAGATTTTTTTTTTTTTTTTCTTTTCAAAAATTTTTGTTTTTTTTTTCTTTTCAATATTTTTTTTCCCCAAGCCTTTTTATTTCTTCTCTGATTTAAATTTTTTTTATTTTTTTATTTATTTTGAAACTTAAAATATGGACCCTCTAGATGAAATAATTGAAAAAATTCGATTAAAAGGTGAAAATTCAGGTGTGGTTTTAAGAGATCCAAAATTACCAGGACCAAAAACTTCTGAGCTCTCAAAAGAACAAAAAATTATGGTTATTGATCGCATATTAGAGGTTGGGTTAGATAATATAACTGCATTAGATTTATCAGAGAAATTGAATATACCACTGAAAAAAGCTGAAACATATATCAAAAATTCAAAAAGGATGGAAAGGACAAATAATTTAAAAACAATTGGTATGTTTCAGGATGTTGCCTCCGATTAAATCTCTCAGTAATCGAGTTCTCCAAATTCAAAAAAAAAAAAAATTTCAAAACATAAAAAAAAAAAAAAAATAAAAATTTCACAAAAAGTTTTTCAAAAAAAAAAATGAAATTTATATTTCTTTTTTTTATTTTTTTATTTTTCAGATTTATTCTTTCTGTGCCTCTTTTTTCGTCTTTTCCTTTAACACCGATATTAAATCATGGAGACTTATCAATAAAGATTTTATTAAAATGCCCAACTCCTTTATACATATCAATTGATGGGAATTTCAAACCTATTTCCGATTTTAGTACAGATCAAGTTTTAAAATGGTTCTCCAACAACAATCCAATTCAAATAACAACAAATCATTCAATGATTATATCTCCAGATATTCAAACTGCCAATAACTTTGATGTATCACTTGCTATCCAAACACCACACAACTCCTCTTTTTTTATTGTTTTGGTTGGAGAAAACTACTTCTTTGATAGTAATAGGATAACAGTTCCATTTTCATCTCCATTAATAATCTCAAGAGATTCAACTAATTACACGCCAGGTATTCAAGATATACAAAATAACGATATAATTATCAAGAAATATGGTCAACCATTGGTTAAATCTTGGGAAGAAAAGAACATTGACATCTCTTTTAAAGATTCATCTATCCAAACTCAAAACTCGGAACCATTTTTGGATATCTCTTTCTCTCTGCCAAGCTCTGGTTTTGGAGAGATGGTTTTAAAGGATTTGAACATTAACAGAGATGGCTTTGTATATAAACTAGATACGTTTACGATCTCTGTTTCAAAAAAGGATCCAATCTATCATATTCCTATTAGACACATAGATAAATTGAATATTGTTCAAGAGTTTGCTTCAAGGTCCACCACACTCAATATTTCACCAGGTGACCCCGTTTCCTCATCAAGAGAAGAGTTGTATGGTGATATTCTAAATATTAAATCAGGTTTTTTGGTTTGCTTGGAGCACCCAGCCATGTTCACAGACTTTGTCTATAGTGATATTCAAACTTTAGAAAATAGTGGCTATTGGTCTTTTTATTTTCGAAAAATGGACAACATTAATGATCTTGTTGAATATATATGGGATAAAAATATCACTCTATGGCAAAAAGTTCCTCTCCTGAACAGGGGGTTTGGTTGTCAATTTCAAGCTATAAGAAACCAATTTTGTCCCTATTGTGTAAATGTTTTCCACAGGTAGGTAAATTTTGAATCTATTTATAAAGAAGGAATATTAACATATCAAATTTTATAGGTTATCAAAAACAAATCATGTCTATAATATTTTTCAATCTACTAATACTAGCTATATCATTGACTTTGGTTTAGATTTGTCAATTAATTTTTATAATAAAACCAATAGGTTTTATTATAAAAATGAAAATGAAAAACATCTAGGAAATAATCTTTTATCAATTGGTTTAAATTTATCAAAAGAGTAAAATTATTTCATTATTTTTATCTTTTATCGAGAAAGAACACTAATGATTTTATTTAACTATTCTAGGTATGCAGATGATATAAATAATAATTATTTTTTAGTTCCAATAGAAAAAGAAAAAGAGTCAACACTTTTTATTTGGTTGAAAGAAATCGTAAATGGTTGCAATGGTTTAAATATTACATATAGTGATTTTTATAATCAAGCATCGTGCCAACTACCTCAATACTCCTGTTCAAATGTGCATTATTTTAGAGATACTCAAGACCAAACCCAAAAAATTAATGAAAAGTTAAATTGTAACTACAAATATACAATATTAATAATAGCTAATAGTTTAGTAGTAGTAAAAGTAGTAAAAGTAGTAATAGTAATAATAATAGCTAATAATGGTAGTAGTATTAATTTATATATTTTTTTATATTTTTTTTTTAAGATTTATTTGGAAATTCAAGATCAAGTATAAATTATTTAAACAAAGAACTATTATCGATTGAAAGATTACAAAAGAAATTAGATTTAAATATTTCAATATACTTAACAAGTTTACCAATTTTACAACCATTTATTAATCAAACATCCTTTACAGTAAACCAAAACGATTCTTTTTTAATAGTTATAAATTTTTCATTCATAAACAATGGTTCATTAAGTGGAGATTATTCGGTTAATATTAATTGTAATGATACAATAAATAGTTTATATAATAGTGGTGAAATTGAAATGGTAAATATTAAAAAAAAAAAAGAAAAAAAAAAAAAAGAAAAAAAAAAAAAAAGAAAAAAAAAAATTATTAATAATTTAAAATTTTATTTATTTAAATAAAGAATAATATAAAAGAATTTAATTTAAAAATTCCAAAAATTAAAACAAAATCAATTAAATATTATGAATGTAATTCAAATGTTTTAATAAATAATCAACCTTATTGGTCAAATTTTGGTAAAGAAATTAAATCAAAAAT